AGTATATTAAATAAGGTTTGAAAACGACTCTTTGCACACGAGCGAGACATATTGGTGGACCGAGCCGAAGGCGAGGTCCACAAGTCGAGCGAGTGTGCAAAGAGGTTTTCAAACGAGTTTTTTACGATACTTTTTATACGACTGCAAACAGACCACAAAAATCAAATTTTAATTTAAATCATTTTTATTACTAAAATTACCAACGCATTAACAAAATATATTAAATACAACTTTTAATTTAACTCGTTTTTATTAAGAAAATTGCTAACGCATTAACAAAAGAAACTAATATTTAATATTTATGCTAACATTTGAACATTCCTTCAAGGTTACGCTGAGAAAAGCAGTATTATTGTGCACATTGTTTTCGGTAATAGAGAATATTTTTGGTGTCGTGTTTATAGTGCAGTTTTTCAGCGTGCGGTCGTTGTTTTCTTGTTGTATTCCAGTAGACGATCGTTGTTCTGGTTCTGTGGCAGCAGAAGACACTGAAGACTCTATCTTTTTCGAAACTTCCATTTTATTTCTCAAACAGTCATCAACGTAGCCTTCGGCAACTGTACTGGATTTCCACCCTCCATGGCGTTTGAGGGCAAGCAGATTTGAGCCAGAATTGACTAAAATTGTGGCCGATGAACGCCGAAAACAATGTCCCGTGTAACTTTCTGGATTCTCTAGCATCAAAAACTTGGCGATTTCCCTAGCCATGTTTCCAATTTTGTTGATGCCAACGTTTTGGCTTGAACATTTTCCGTTTTGATAGTTTAAAAAAAACCTGCCTGTCTTCAGATTAGGAGGACGAAGAGCACAGTACTTTTTTAAGATAGTGTAAAGGTTTCCTGTAATTGTAAAACACCTTGGTACCTTTGTTTTTGTATTCTTCAGTTTAATCAGCATAGCACTGCCGAAATCTTTGGTGTCTTCTATTTTGAGATAACATAATTCCTCCCTTCGACATGCCCCAGATAGTCCAACTGCCACCACCGCCTTGATAAGTAAATATTTGTCGTCTGATGCTTTCGTCAAAAACCGGCAAAAATCATCTTCTGTGAGGATTTGGGACTTCTTTGGGACGTAGTTTTCGGATTTTCGTTTGATTAGCGCTTGCAACTTTTTATAGCTTCCAAGATCTATGTTGTGATTGGCACTTAACGTTGACTTGAGCATCGAAAAAATCGTCCACATCGTCGTCGAAGATTTATATTTCTTAGATAGTTCTTCAAAATACACCATTACTGCGTTTTCTGAGAAATTTTGGACATTTTTGGCTAGTCGCCAGTCCATAAATCGGCTTAATTCAGCTTCATACCTGCTTCTGGATTTTGTGGGCAGCAGTTCCGAACATATTTCGCTTGCTTTCTGTAAAATCTCTTCAGAATCACACATTTTCACACCCAAACTTCGGGAATTCAACAATTTTTGAAGTATCTAATCAACAAAATAAAGGAGCCGTGACGGTTGCTATGAAACTCAGCCAACTTGAAACATTGCATAATTTGGGTGACAACATCAAACAAAAATCACAATCTGGAGACGGGTGTGCAAAGATGACATAACCGTGTGCAAAATGTTTAGCACACGGCGTGTGCAAAATACCGTGTTCAGAGCGTAATTTTCGTGCGCAAAATCCCCTTTTGCAAGGCAGTCGTATAAAAAACATTTTAGAGTTGAATTTCTACTTTTATTTGACTTATTCTAACTAATGGCGAATGCGCCGGAATCAATAGCTTGTAAATGCGATATGTTTCAATGTGTTCAGAGTATAACAAATATGGCCATGTTAATAGACCAATGTCGCTGTAGGTTGCGTCATCTGGCGGCAATTGGTACCATTTTCATATTACGCATGCTGATGAGTAATAAAACACGGTACCAGATTTCATCGAATTTCTTTAAACAGCTCTCACGATATTTCAAAAAATAATTGGCAAGAAAGTTAATAAAACACCCTGTTAAACGCGTAACATTTTGCTAAGGCATGTTGGGCCCAAACGCTTTGTTTTGATCCAGCTATCACCCCTTAGCTAATATATCCAATTAATTACGGGACACCTTGTATAATCAATATATTCAATTCAACAATCGATAATTGAATAAAACGTAAAACACTAAAACTATACTGGTAATTCGTTAGCTAGATATAAAATAAAATAATACAAATAGGTAAATTAGTTACTTACTGCAACAAGAGATGTCTACTATAAGAGGGCCACTCCTATGTATTTCGTTTAATATACGACTCACGTCAAAAATCTTTATATCGGAAAAGTACCGAAAGTTTAGGGTCATCTAACTATTTTATTTTTAGAGATAGAGAAAACCTATTTTAATAAAATTTCATGGCAAAATTGATATCTTTCATCTAGTGCAAACAGATTTTTAAAATATCGTATGTAATTTGCTGCGCCCTCTACGCGGGCAAAAAAAAATGTCATCAATAGGTAATGTTAACTGAATTTTAAATTATATAAATAGGAAAAATTAGCAAAACAGTGAGAGGTTGAAGAAAACTACAATTTGGTCAGATGTGTCCAATTTTTGTAACAATGGATATTTTAATAGGAACATTTACTTCAAATGGTAATTTAGGATAGGACCTTACTTCTATGATGGTAAATTGATGGGTGTCAGATATTGTAGATTCCTTGCTTAAAATAAGTACATTATATTCATTAAATTGTTTGTAGTAGGCATGTTTAAAACAATTTCTACATTAATATACATTTTTCATAACAAAATTATAAAAAATGTAATAAATATAAAAGATAAAGGCGACATGTACATTGCGTGAAAGAAGAGAAACAAGTATTTTTTTGTATCCACTACCTGGTTCGATGACAATTTTTTTTGGCACTTAGAGGGCGCAACAAATTACATACGATACTTCAAAAATTTGTTTACAGTAGGTGAAAGATATCAATTTTGCCAAGAAATTTTATTAAAATAAGTTTTCTCTATCTCTTAGAATAAAAAACTTAGACGGCCCTAAGCTTTCGGTACATGTCCGTTTTTTATGATTACTCATAAAGTTGGTCATGAATCTTAAATTTGCTTCTTTTACAAGCATCAAGGCCTCAAAAAATGCAACAAAAAACATATAAAGATTTTTGACGTGCAGTGTGTATTAGGCGAGGTACATAGAAGTGGCCTTCTTATAGTAGACAGTCTGTATATGTTTCTGCATCCTTTTCACAGAATCGTTGTTTTCGAGATGATTTCGAAAATTAATAAAAAAACATTTTTTCAAATATGTCAGAAACTACTTTGCCATTTTGATAAAACTTGACTCGTTTTTAGTTATAAGAATGGGTCTTTTTTATTTTACTATTCCAGAGGCGGGCGCTGTGGCATCATAATTATAAATTTGAGTACGCCACTACTTTTTTAAGTTTGACATTATTTTTAGATTGAGTAATTAATTAAAAATATATATTTTTTTTTCCTTTCTTTATTATTTTATTTCAATAATAAAATAAAATTTATTTTTCCAGGGGCGGGCGGTTTACTGAATTTAATTTTTTTGTCAAAAAGTAAGTAAAATAAATATATTTTTAGATTTAGGTGCAGGGAGGCTTTAACATTTTTAACGTATTTTTATACTATAGTGTCAATAATTCAATAATATATAGGGTGTTCCATTTAAAAAAACGAAGTTGACAGCTACTTCCCGTATAACCGGAAGTGCTACATTGATGGCATTATTTTTATTGAAGAGAGCAAATGCTGATAACCCCTGTAAACAAAATTTCAGTCATATTATCTTTGATTTCTCTGAAACGTTTAACAGATCCGTGAAGAACCCTGCGTATGTGTTTTAGTAATTCTGATTGTTAATATTTTACTATTTCATAAAAAAATACAGGGAATTTACATACCTGTAGAGGATTTTTTAATATTATTAATTAATTTATTAATAATAAACAATTTTAGTAATAAATTATTGAATCTGCAAAACTTCACTTTGAATTAATAATAATACTTATTTTTATTATTCATGACGGATAAGTCCTATCTTTTCGCATGTTTTTTAGGTCGGTAACTAGCTCTTTGCCCAATCTATTTTTTTGCGTGCGGTAATCTTACTTGTGGCACGCGAATTGCGAATAAAACACACAAAATTTAAATACCTACACACTCAAAAATATTATTTTTAAAGAGTGACATTTAAATGACAGTTATTTATGTCAACTTAAACTCGATAAAAATATGTGGACCCCACCGGAGCTTCGACCCTGGACTCTAATATTTCATTGCATTCGTAATAAAAAATAGTACGTGCAATTCGTGCGGTTGTCTATTGCCCACTGAGCGGATGAGCGCACTCACTTTGTTAGTGCGCTTAGCTGCGCTCTCGTGAGCAATAGACAGCTTACCGCACTTATTGCTCAATATACTATTTCGAGTGTGTACTTAAATTTTGCGCGTTTTATTGTCAATTCGCGCGCGACAAGTGTTATTGCCGCACGCAAATAAATAGAGTAGGCAAACAGCTATTTACCGACATAAAAAACAAGCAGAAAGATAGGACTTATCCCGCATGAATAATAAAAAAATAATTTTAAAAAAGTTGTAAGCGTAGAAGGTGTCATACGAAAAGGGGCCAATTCTTCTATATCCACGTCACTGTTAATTGAAATGTACAATTATTAGTAGTTAAATGCAAATATTACTAGCATGTATCAGCATTTTACGTAGCTTTTTTAAGTTTAAATGTACATTTCTTAGAAATGGTGCATTTCAGAACCAAGGTTGTTATAACATTTCAGCTTATTTTTCCTTGAGAAATATTGACTTAAAGTTTGTCCTGCTCCGTGGATACCTTGTACGTAGGAAAAATTACACATTTCGAAATGTTATTATAAATATTTTAATGCATGTGTAATTAGTAATTAAATATATAAGATACTTTAATTTATCGGTTAATTTAACGAGTATCATCTGCAATATAAGTGTGCAAATTCTTTAAGATTAGATAGGACTAAGGTCAAGAAGCTACAAAGTATAAAATAACAAATACAAATATATTTTAAAACATCTACATATAGTTTCTTATAAATAAAATAAACATTAACGCAGTACTGAAACATACTGAGTACGGTGTTTTTATAAATAACTACAGAAAATAAATACTTACACATGAAAATTTCTGTTCTATCGCATAAAATCACATGCATCAACAATAAAATGATATCAACAAATAAATAAATGATATACATAATAAAGTCAATGGGATAAAAGAAATAAAAATTATTCTTTGCCGCTGGGTGTGTTTCCGTTTAATATATCCTGGATCTCCTGCAGGCTCTTACCCGTAGTTTCTGGCAAGAGCTTATACGTAAATACTACTGCTCCAAGACAGCACACAGAGAAAATCCCAAAGGATCCCGATTTTCCTATGCTGTCAGCCACAATTCCGAAATAGTTTGTCAGCAGGAATCCAAGAAACCAGCAGCCCGATGCCGTGACTGTGGAAGCAGCCGATTTTATGTTACCCGGGAATAGCTCACCCATCACAGCCCAGGGTAAAGGCCCGAAGCCTAGACAGTACGTTATTATGTAGACGATGAGACTAACGATGGGAATCCACCCGATGGAAGACACGTCAGTATGCCTGTCGTCTTTCAAGTAGAAGAAGTACGCCAATACCCCTTGAGACAGTCCCATTCCGGCGGCAGAAAGCAGAAGCAAGAACCGTTTACCTCTTCTTTCTACCAAAAGTGGAGTTGCGCTACTGGCAAACACTTGGACGATGCCGAGGATTATGGTGCATATTTCGGGCGCCAGAGAGACCCCAGCGTCAGTAAAAATGTCTTGCGCGTAGAAAAGTACGATGTTTATACCAGAAAACTGTTGTATTCCCACTAAACTCACTGAGAGGAAGAGAGCCATTGTTAGTCCTCTGGATTTGAAGATGTCGAAGAAATTTTTTTTGTTCTCCTGAGCCTCGTGCACTAACCCTTTAGTGGTTTCCAACTCCTTCTGTACGTCGTCTTTACTTTTAGAACGCAGTTTCATCAGCGATTCCTCAGCACCTTCAAAGTTTCTTGCTTTAACTAAGTAGTACGGACTTTCTGGGATGAAAAATAAAAATACCACAAGAAATACAACTGGAGGGATCAAGAGGGTTATATTAAATGTCTGTACTGATAAATATGATCCAAGAACGTAGGAGAACAGCAAGCCTAACATTATAAACAGTTGCATGAATGATCCTAGCGACCCCCGCACTTCATCATCAGCTATTTCTCCGATATACATCGGCAGCACCGTGAAGACTATTCCTACTGCCAGCCCACATAGAAATCTTGAGGCGAAGAAGTAGTATACGTGCGTGGCGACGATATTCAGAACGAAGGTTATTATGAAGGGTATTGCAGAGATCAATAGGGTCTTTTTCCTGCCGATCTTGTCCGCTGCAATGCCGGCTGCAAAGGGGCCTATCGCTGCCCCCAGGGGAAGGAGCGATCCGATCCATCCTTCCGCGGTTTTTGTAATTGGGCTGCTCAAGGGGTTATCTATAACGCCTTTCAGTTTGGGTATTTCCGGGGAAGTCCATCCAATTGTGGTACCGCAGATAAACGAGGCGATATTTCCTGAAAAAAGAAAGGAAACTTAAGTTTTTTTAACACTTAAAATTATGTCTGGTAAAGTTAAAACTGAAATGAGATGTTAATAAAAAAATCGAACTAATTTAAAAAATGTTTCTAAAATGCTTGTGGCCTTTCTAATGTAGTTTTTCTTTTGTAAATTGAAAAATAAAATAAACATTTGTAAATAAACACATACATGAGCCTTGTGGCACACAATTTTTAAATCTACAGTGTGGAAAAATCTCTAAAAAATAGTCAAATAACATGATTATTATTTTCTAATATTCTACTGAAAAAATTCAAAGAACCTTATGACTTTTTATTCTACTTTAAAAGTTATGTGCTGTTATAATTTGTTTGAAACTTTGGGTTCTTTGGAATATCTGTTTGTGGGCGAATTTTTTTTTGTTACTCATGTTAGTTACATTCCTGAATATTTGAATAAAGATAAAGTTGCATTTAGTGAACAAAATTCTTTGACACCTCAGACCATACATTGTTGCAGTATATAATAATCTGCAAGACATTGTCTGTACTTTTACTTTGTCTTTTGTAAGACTCACAGAATGTAGCTCAATTTGGTTCCGAATATGTCCTCTTTTTCCAAAAGCGAATTTTACGGACATTGAGAGGTTTGAAGGCAACATTCACTAGAGCCCTCGTAATATATCATTATTCATAGTAAAAGACTTAAGTTTAATGGAACATGGTATTCATCAAGGTTCCGCTTTGGGCCCCTTCCTCTTTAATTTATTTATTAACGGTATGTATTGTTGCTAACGTTAATATGAACTGTCTACTCTACGCCGACGACATGAAATTGTTCTCTGTTACTGATGGTGATTATTAAAGTGTAACATTATTATTGTCCCATTTCAAGAGAAATAATGTCACAATTGTAAATTATAATCTGAATGGAGAAGTCTTGCATAGAGCCAATTATATTGTTGATCATATTGAGACCATTATTTTATCTGCTTATAAACATTTAGAGTTTTTAATTTGATTTTCTACAGGTTTTAATGATATCGATCTGCTTAAATTAATCTACAATTCATTTGTAAAAGCTTGAATATGGGTCACTTACAATAGCATCGGAAACGTCGTTCCTTAATCTTGCTACATGAAGTAATACGTAACAATGTCAATTGTCCAAATATATTATACATCTTAAATTTTCAAGTACGAGCCCTGTTCAAACCAAACTTTTTGAATTACGCGCTAGTTGAGATATTTAGCTTTGTCAATTCGTCAGTTTTGTACCAAAAATCAGATTACTGTCCTCCCTCACCCTCCTTACTCGCCAGACCTGGCTCCTAGCGAAAACAGTAAAGTAACTTTGAAAAAGGCTTTAAAACTTCACAGCCATCTTATAGTGAAATTTAGATTTTCAATAAAAATTACGAACAGTTATTTGAGCTAATAAAACTTGAGAAAATGGAGTTTTAAGCTATGTCATAGGATTTCCCATAAAAACTGATAGATCACGAAAAATCATCTCAACGTGGTTCTACTGATGCATTAGGCCAACCTGTATATAGGGTGTTTCAGTTCGAGTGAATCAAATAGTTCAGAATTGCCTTATAGTGTAAGGGTCTAAGTCTCACCGTTTTCACTGTACAGGGCCGTATTGGTTGATTGTTAAAATCATATCGTGTCGTTAGACCCTGTGAAATCCATCTAGTTATTTAAACTATTACCACCACGCGTTACAATAAAACATTTATTATTATTAACTATTACCATCACTTGGTCATAAAACGTTATTACAATTTTAATTTTATTATGGCAAATTAATTCTTAAAAATGCATATGAACAATCAAAACGCCAACTGAAGATCAGCGTAATATTATCGGAATTTATTATATCTGTAACTGCAACTGTGAACGAGCATGTCAGATGTACTTGTATGAATATCCTGAATAAAATAGATCGGAATTTGTTTGAATTTTAAGCACTCGAGAAGCCTAGAAATAACTATGGACACGGGAATAAAACTCTAATAATGTTTTATTTTAATGCGTGGTGGTAATTATTTAAATAACTAGATATATTTCATAGGGTCTAACGACACTTACAGTGTACAATAATTCAATAAACAAAGAATTCTAAATAAAAAATTAAGATAAATTGGAACGAATACACTGAAGATGAATTTTTCGAGACCAAACGTCTGAATCTGTTTCAGGCTGAGGCAGTACAGTATTGGGAGTGATGAAGGCTTGCAAAAAATGTAATAAAATTTCCAGGGTCGTATTTAAAAAAATGAAGTTGATAATGGTCGTGGAGAGACGAATCGTTACATATAAAAATTGATTATGCCATTCGACAGAGGGCAAAAAGTGGCCCTGAGAAAGTGTTATTTTTTCAGTATTACCTCAAATATGGCTGAAATTAAAAAAAGGATTTCCAAAATTTCGTTTTTTTTTTTCAAATATTTCGAATGTTAGCCTTGATTTTTTAGAGGCATAGTGTTGGTCCCCTGATTATGCAACTTTGCCCCCATTTAAGCTACTTAACGTAACAGCCTGTATATGAAAAATTAAATTATCGACTTCGTAGAACGTACTAAAATTTGACAGGAATGTTCCTGATCAAATCTGAACATCCTGTTATTGTTTATTATCTAAGTATTTTAGAGAAATACGTACACAGACAAGCTTTAGTAATAATTATCTATTCAAATAGTAAAAATAATAATAAAAAATCATATCTGACATATCGAAATCTAGGATTTATATAACTATCTAAACTTTAAACTTCAACGATATAAATATATATCTAAATATTAAAGAGATTACATTAAATTTAATATACACAATTTTTTAAAACTATTGAATGACGATGTCAAAAATGTGGGCAATTTGTTTAAAAATAATATTCAAGTTAATCTAAATAGACTTTTGCGATTGTAATTTCAAGACTGCATTTTGCAATCCTTTGCAATATCGGGTAATATATTTTGTCGTTCCTGTTCTTCCTCAATGGGGTAAGCAATGTATGAAATCATAATTAAATTAAATTAACAAATAAAATTTCATTATTTTTAAATGTTAGACTTCTTCCAGTGAATAAACTAAAATTAAAATTATAAAAAGTACATCCAACCTACAAAGAAGACTAAGGGGGGAATAACTGAGGTTTGTAGAGAAATTTCTTCCCAAACATTTAAGAACTGCTATGAAATACAGTATGTCCACGGATAGAGTGGAAAAGAGGGAAAATATTTTTATTTTTCATTTTACGAGAAAAAGGCATTCTTGATTAAAATTTTTGCTTGTCTTTAAAATGCGGTTGGCATGGAGAACTTTCATCTTGCATGTACAGGATGATCGGAAAGTCATAAATATAAAAATCGTTCGTGAATAAACTGCCTGTTTTAAACAATACAGAAATATGTTATTAAGAAAAGTTGCTTAGAATTAAAATTTATATTATAATTTCAATTTGTGTATGAATAGGCCTACTTTGATAGAAACGGACAGTAAAAATTTTTTATTCATTTTACTAGATTAAAATTTTTGCTAATCTTTAAAGACATTTTAAAGAGGTTTTGAAAACAAATGAGTAGAATATAACGAAAATTCGATAGAAATTTAAAATTGGGACTGTAATTTTTGTTTGTTCGCATGCATATTAAAAAGAGGAAATTAGAGAACATTTTATTTCTTTATTGAATTTATAAGTGACGTAAAAAACTTTTTAGAATTTTAATTTAAGGAAAGCCTAAATCGGAGAATAAATACCTCTTTTAAAAGGATGTTTTATCTAAGATAAGTCACACTGATAACTCCATTTGATAGTAATTTAGAAAAATTTTCAGAATTGAATTCAGTTAACTTAGCTCCTTAAAGTGTATAATTTAAAAAATATATTAACAAAAATACAACACTGTAGTGTACAGACAAGGAAATGATATTGAACAATATTATTTAAAAGGAAGTGCATAATTCTGAGATTATGACTGTAAGCCTTGCATTTCTAATCATTTGTAGTTATTTTAATTGTATTGGTAGCAGATTTCAAGGCTCATAAATTAATATTGAACGTTATTTATAACATAAGTCTTAACTGAATTTTATATTATCATCAAGCCAGAGACATGTTGGGTTTTCAATTCCTCTTTTCTGTGCAGAATATATACTTAAACCATATTTACCTAGTGTAATGATTGGGTTTTATCCTGACTTTATTATTTACTACGAAAAAAATTGTTTCAATCTTTAATTAAATAGAACATATTGTTTATATAAAAAGTTCATCTGTATTGTCAAGGTCTCTTATGTGATACTTTCATCTTTTTTTTACGAACACGAGTATTTTAAGGTAAGTAAAAATGAATGGTTACTAAGATTAAGGGGTTTATAAGAAAATATTCCTTTCTAACTTTTTATCGTTGCACTATCAGTGTCAAAATAAACTCAACTTTCAAAGACACCAAAGACATAAAATTAAGTCTATCAGATTGAAATCTGGTAATCTTAGTAAACATTTACTTTTTACAAATGAGGGATAAAAATTTGGACTTTGCACTCTAAACACAAATATCGTACTATTATATTTAATTAAAACAGTTCAATAGATAATAATATTTTCTATATAGAACTCTGACGCACCAAATTGAATTTATAAATCAAGTACAAACAACGAATAAATATTTTCTAAATTGCACGCATACTTGGTAATGGTCAAGGTTCATTCGACAAAATAAATTATTACATTGGTGTCTCTAACAACCTTACTGCAACGTGTATTCATTTTTACAACGCACTCTATATATAGATTTCAGTGACTTTGTAAAGCAAACCACAAAGGATGAACTTAATTGAATATAAGTGTCCGGATGCGATTCTTTGCGGCTAGGAAAAGTTTATTTTATAATAGTACCCATAATGTGCAGTATTTTAATCATTTATGTAGGTTCCGGAGATCTTGATTATTGTTCATGCGATGCTCTTCAGAAAAGAGATTATCTGGAAAATGCACATACAACTATGTGCAT